GAAAGTAGAAAGCTGAACTAAAATGCATTATTAGTGACTAATATATCAAGGTAAGACAAGCTGGTCACACTCGTGGCAGGATTACTCACCGAGTCACAGTTTACCTGCAAAAAAAAGGCTGCACGCTCTTTTCGCATTTCAAGTTTTCCTCATCGTAACTTCAAAGTCCACTGCCATAAACTGGCCAGCGCATCTCCGACGCTCAAAGACGTGGCTTCACGGCCGCCTCTCTGAGGGTCTGGCGGGTTAGCAGCCCAACGCAAAACACGACTTCGGAAAGTCCAGGGGCGCCGAAGGTCACACGTGCGGGACGGTCTCCTCCAAACGCCGCGCTCCAGTGACGGATACCCGGCCGGACCAATCCCAAGGCCGGAGGCGACCGCCAGGATCAGACTGCCGCACGGCAACCGTTTCCAAGTCAACCTTCTGGTCGGCCGTCCAGCTGGCGTACTGGGGGGACGTGTCTCCGGCCCCAACCCAGTGCCCCCCGCCCCCATCGTAATGCCACCGGTGCCAGAAACACACGGATTTATTCTAAAATAGGCCTCGGTAAACATGCAAAAGGATCGCAGTGGGGGGAGATACTGCAAGAAGAGCTGGCAAAACACAGAAAGGGAAACGCTGGGCGGACGCGGCCCGGCCCAGGACGCGTACTGGGAGCACAGGGGAGCCACTCCCAGTGCGTCTCCCAGGCGGCCAGCTCCCCGCAAAGGCTCAGCCACAGGAGGATGTGGGTTAAACCTTTCGACTCTTTTCTGCCGTGTGAAAGGCAGCGGGGAAACTCGATATGTTCATTTTGTTTCCAAGGCTAACAAAGGAGCCCCAGCATTTCGGGGGCTGAGAGGATCCCGCCGGACCCTCCTGTTTGTTCAGCTCCCTTTTCTCGTTTTCTCACCGCGCTTCTCTGCGGTCGGTGCAGCCGGAGACAGGAAGTGGATTTTCACAGCGGACAGGTGGGCATATAAACGGGAATATTGTGGAAAACAACAAAGAAGAAAGATTAAAAGATCTGAAAAAAGGTGAATATATCTGTCTCTGACAGATCCCCTGCCCAGATTTTTAACTAATACTATTTAACTGTCATTAAATTCATTTTAAATATTAAATTAAGGAATGCAAGCAAGGCCATTTCAATAACATCAGCTATCCGTATAAAAACAGATGGCAAGTGGTTAGTGACACATTAAAGCTTAAATGAAGAAGGAAGAGGAGTAAAGTCACGCGACGGAGACCCGCTGACACATAACGGTCTGCACCACACACAAACAGAGACCTACTAATGCAGAGGTCTGCACACCATGAAAACAGAGACCCACTAACGCACAGAGGTCTACACATGATGGAAACAGAAACCCTCTAACCCAAGCAATCTGCACATGACAGAGCTCTCTCAGCTAGCCTGCTCTTCTCAAACTCAATCCTGAGCCACCCAATGTCCTTATAAATAAAACCAAATAACAGAGCCTTTGTCTTGTATTCTCCAGCCTAATCCATCATCATTTTTAACTGCATAGACAGAAACTTCCAGAACCCTAACTATGCTTCGTCATATGGAACATCCTCTGCAGCAGCCAGAAGTATTGGCTCAACAATGCAGAATATAAATAAATTGCTACACTGAAAAGGGCAGAAACGTGTGATTCCATGAGGCGTTTCGCATTGCCGGGGCACTGGGGGAGACAGCTGGCCACATCCAGGGAAACGATGAGATTCCCACACGGAGGACCCCACCGCCCCCCCCATCCTCACCAAGACCGCGGCGGAGCATCCCGGAGGCATGGAGGATGGGACGCCACAGGAACAGACGGTGTGGGACAGGTCCCCCTCCCTCCCGGGGCTGACGCAGAGAGAGGGAGGAGCCCAGATGGCTCAAATCAGGGGATGCCTCTCAAGTGGAAGGGCAAGGATAAGCAGGTCTCAAGCGGCTGGGCTGGGGAGCCGCGTAAATACACAGCACAGGTATTTTAAACGCACCCGTATTTGGTGTTATTTACAGGAAAGCGGGCCGACCAGATGCGTGGGGCTAGCGTGCGAGTTAGTGCCACCACCGGAGCCTTTGGGAGTGGCGTGTTATAGGGTCGCGGCCCCAAGGTGTCGGCGCTGTTCGACCATCCGGAATAAACCTCAGGTATATTACACCCTGCACCCCGGATGTAAACACACCCACGTCGCGCTACGTCACGCTGAGCCATTGACTGCAAGCAGCAGAGAAAATTCACGACGTACAGGCTGTATGTAAAGACGGGAGTGTGTCAGTCACAGACATGATCAAGCAGGGAACCGGTGACGGGCGGAAAGGACCAGGGAGACGGGAACCTTACCGGTTTTACCTGTCCGCCCGCCGAGGGGGAGGATATGGCCTGTTTACCTGCTTGGCAAAGGCTTCCCCAGAAACAACAAAGTGCGGAATGACGCGAGCTGTCAGCAAGAGTAACAGGCACCTGATTCTGGGCGATTCTGCGTGTTATCGGGGAATGTGCCGGAAGCAGGTCGGCCAAAGAGCCGTGGCGGAATGGGCAGGCCACCCGCAGCGAGGTCTCCAGGTGCGCAGGTATGCTGACAAGCCCGTCGTCGCCATGGCAAACGGCAACAAGCGTCCCGCTTGCAAAGCCGCTGTATTTTCCCAAACAAATCTCAGCTGTCGGCTACGCAACAGCGCCGAGTTATTTCCTCAGACCCAGTTTTTCTTGATTTACACAAATAGGGGAAAAGGAACTTGTTTACAAATGTACTTTCCCCAGCAAGCAGTAGAGAAAACAAGCTAAATGCTGACAGAATTCTCCAGGAGACGAGTTGTGGGTGCTGTGAATTTATTTCTTCCTGTATAGCCTCCTACTGGCCGGCATCTCTTCACCCTGCCAAACCACGCATGTCCTCTTCCTGCTCGCGAAATCCCTTTCACGTCAACGCTGTCGTCTGAAGCGGCAATCAAACGGCAGAACACCTAACAGCTCTGCACCACTGTGTGTGCCAACTAAGGATTAAGGAAAGCCTTGTTTTCATCGATCCAATGTATAGAGCACACAGATCGAGGAGAGCAACAGAAACACAGAGACGTCTGATCTTCTTGACAGTCTTGCCTGTGACTGATGGGCCCCTCTGTGTCTCCATCATCGCAGCAGCTTCTTTCCTCTCCTCCTGTCAGGAGACCCTGTGCAGACCCAGGAACGCTCCCCGTGTGTGTGTGGAGAGGTCCGGCTCGCTGAATGCTAATCTCGCCTCTGGGTGATGTTTCACCGCAAAAGGCGGAATATCAGAAAAACAGGCCCAGCTCGACATCGGAGTTGCACACCTACCCTGCCACAAAATGGAGGCCGTTTATACACAGAAAGTCCATCCCTTTCATACCTCTTAGGTAGGATAACACGTATTTAAGGGCCCCGTTGATGCTGTTGTAGCACGTCACGCACACCCAGCCCCCCACCACTCATTAGCCGCCACCTTCTGCTCTCACTGACTCTCCCCTGCACTGTTTCTATAGTTATTGTGCAATTAAATCATCAACAGGTGCTCATTGATATAGCAGGTGGGGGTAATTAATGCAGGGGGGTGATGAGGGACACGTGTAAGTGCATGTACCCACACACACACACACACACACACATACACACAGACACACATACACACACACACGCATACACACACGCATACACGCACACACATACATACATACATACACACACATACACACACACACATACACACACAGACACGCACACACACACACACGCACACACACACACACACACACACACACACACACACACACATACATACACACACACACACATACACACACACACATACATACACACACACAT